CAGGAGCATATGGAAGACCTTCACCCGAATAATAAAGAGAAACAGGATAGAGGGGCATGCCATTTTCCTTCAGCCCACAAGAGCTGCCTTTAGTCATACTAGTACCGTCAATGTCCATAGACTCGCACGTTGACAGGTCAATATAAATGTCAAACTCTATATAAAGAAATAGAAAAATCATAAAAAAAATGGCATGTTATATAGCATTAAGAATATGAATATAACATGTTATATAGCATTGAGAACATGTGAATAAACAAAGGCGGAAGAAAATGACATGTGTATTTTGCAAAAAAAAATAAAAAATGGCATGTTATACACACAAATTAACAAAGGCAGAAGAAAACAACCTGTCAAAGTTGAAGAAAAATACACATGCTCCAACACCACGGATTAACAAAGGCTGGTGCTTCTGCTTCTCGTCCATGACTTCGCACACGCTTCTCCGCCACGGAGATTCTCGCTTCTGCTTCAAATGGAAATGGAAGGGCTTGCAGTTTGCGTTTTTCCTTCCAGCTTCTTGGATTGGGGGAAATATGGAAATGGAAGGGTTTGGAGTTTTTTTTTGGATTGGATAACCTATTGGGCCTGACATTTTTTAAAACAAAAAGAGGCTCACCTTAATTTTTAACCTTCTGCAACGTTTATAAACGATGTGAAAGGTTCAACTTTTCACAGTGTTTATAAAACGTTGCAAAAGAACATTTTTCGCAACGTTTTTTAAACACTGCGAAAAGTTGAACCTTTCGCAACGTTTTAAAAACGTTGCAAATATAAAAAGATTCGCAATACTAAATAAACGTTGCAAACTGTGATATTAGCAACATTCACTTCAAAAATGTTGTCAAATCTTAATTATTAACACCAATGGCAACATTCACTTATTACAATGTTGTAATAGACACTTTTAGCAACATTTAATTGATAAATGTTGCCTTTTACTTGTTGTAAAAGCACTTTTTTGTTGTGGTGATAAAAAAAAAATTGATTTATGGTTCGATTTGATTCTCTTGGAATCAGAACCAAATGGAATCATATCCGCCTTTAATGAATATCACCATCCAAAAATACAAGAATAATGAAGGAGAGATGTTCGGGACGAGTAGATAGATCTTTAAAGCCCATTTAGGCATGGGCTGACCTGATGAAAGACTAAGTCGATGCCTACACTGGAATTTTGGGCCACACCCTCCATTTAACAATATGTCAGCAACCAGAGTTATTAAAAAAAAAAATCAAAAACAAAAAATTGAAATGGGCCAAATAATTGGCCCATGTTATCTTATTAACTACATTCTACAAAGGGAAAAATTCATAATACCGATAGTAACTTTGGCCTAATTCAAAAATAAGGTAACATGTTTACATTTTCTGATATCAAATTTTATAAACAACTGTACGTCAAAATCTCTTTCCAAACCAGTTTCCTAAAAACTAGGAACGTATCTCCATCAATGCACGTATCTCCATCAACGCCAGTCTGTATCATAACAAATTCACATCCCTGAAATAAAATGTTTCATCTCCAAGCTGACGACAAAAAAACTGAATTTGCTTTTTTTTTTTGTTAACGAAATTCCTTCGATTAACGTTGATCGTATAATCCAGGTCACAGTTGGGGAAAGACGATCGCGTAACAGCAGATTAGTCAACGGATTCGTCCGAACATCATCTAATTCAGCAGTCGTCGTTGAATTTAGGGGTTTCGATTTTTATCGGGTATGTCATTGAAATTCAATTAATCTCACAATCCGCTTACTGCCTGATAACCACTGCGATGCAATCGCTGTTATATGTGAATTATGACTGTGATCTTAATTGCATTAGAATTGGTGACGCATTTCCTCTCATCTACGTATTGCGACTTCTTTTCAATATCTGTGACTTGATGCTCTGACCTGATCTCCATTTGCATTTGAAACTTTTACATATTTGTTGTAATAATCGTATTGTGCTCCATTTGAAACTTTGACACATATGTGACATGATGCCGTGACCTGTTCCAATGACGAATTTGCTGTTATCCGCAAAATGTGACTCCGTGTCATAATCTGTGTATTCATTAGTTGTGACCTAAACCTTGTTTTGTAATTGACATTATTCTAGTTGATGTTACAGAAATGGGATACATACATGTTTGCCTATTGAATGGCTCAGAGCCTTCGTTGGTCTTAATCGATCGTAATTGCGCGTACATGCAACTGGTGGATACAGTTATGGTCGAGATTGGATTGGATCCCACTGAAGTGGCAGTCACAATGAAGTATGTTTTGAATAGTGAACTGCCTCCAATTGTGATCAAGAATGACAATAATGTGTTGTCATACATGACGTTGAAAGATATGGATCGTGACCCATCCAAATATCCAATCATCATTGAGGTCACGGAAGAAGATAGCCAACAGAACAATGCAATGTTACCATTTGGTGTGGAACCCAATGGATCAAAATTTTCATTGATGGATATGTCATCATATATATGCGGGGCGATAATAGAACCGTTGTGTGACAATTATGAGCATGAGGTCACGGTTGTATCGGTCGCCAATGCTAGGGATGTAGAGATGGGAAAGGTTTTTCGTAATAAAGAGATCATGAAGCCGAGCTTGTCCCTTTATGCGATCCAAAACATGTTTGAATATGTGGTTGTTCGATCAGATAAGAAGGACTATCTTGTCAAGTGTTCACATGACGAGTGTGATTGGATTTGTAGAGCATCTAGGATGGCTAGAACGGACTTGTTTGAAATTAGGCATATTGTAGAAGGTCACAGATGTGCTTCTAACATTGTACTTGGTTTTCATAGGCAAGCAACAAAAGCACTTGTGTTGCACTGCATAACATACAAGTACACATCGTCACGCACTCTGTATACCCCAAATGATATACGTAATGACGTGTTGCATATGTATGGAGTATCGTTGAATTATGTGAAAGTGTGGAGGTCTTAGGAGGAAACTTTGAAACTGATTAGGGGTGATCCAACAGATTCTTTTAATAATATACCAAGATTCTTTGCCATGTTGCAACATACAAATCCTGGAACGGTCACAGATCTGGAGCTTGATGGTCACAATAGGTTCAAATATTGCTTCAAGGCGCTAGGCGCATCAATTCGAGGTTGAGGACATTGTAGGCCAGTTTTTGTGGTTGATGGCACGTACTTAAATGGACACTATGGTGGGACGTTATTTACGGCATGTACACAAGATGCAAATAGTAGCATATACATACTTGCTTTCGGGATTGGGGATAGTGAGAATGATGTCTCGTGGACATGGTTCTTCGAAAACTTGAGGAAGGCGTACGGCTATAGAGAAGGGTTGTGCTTCGTATTGGATCGCCATAATAGTATCAAAAATGCTATTGAGAAGATGTATCCAGAAACATGTCAATGAATTTGTTCGTATCATCTACTTCAAAATTTGAAGTCACGTTATGAAAAAACGGGTAAAAATATAATGCAAACATTTAATTCAGCTGTTCGTGCCTACACGTTGTCAGAATACGAATATAACATGCAACAACTCGACGTGATTAATGGAAAGATAAGGGATTACTTGGTAATATATTACATAGTACCACCAAGTTATATTCTTGTGCATACATTTATTACAATATTGTGAAATATATCATTAACAGATAATCGTGTTTATGTTTGTAGGACGATGTTGGACCCACTAAATGGTCACGATTCCACATGCCAATGAATCGATATTCTACAATGACATTGAATATAGTAGAGTCGGTTAATGTGGTCACAAAATCTGCTAAGAACTATTCCATTGTAGCTTTGTTGGAGTCATTGCGACAAATCATACAGTCATGATTTTGTAGACATCGGAAACCCGCACAAGCCATTTTCACAACCTTGTCAAGCAAGTATGAGAGAAGCAAATGAGGAAAATAAGCACGGATATGAGAAACTTGAGGGTAATGTCAACATTTGTGCCTGAAATGTTATCTGTGACCTGTAACTTGTTCGTTGTGGCCAACTTCTTAGTGACATTGTTATATTATTTTTTGATTGTAGGTTGCGCGTATTAATCAGGCAATGTTCTTAGCCAGCTATGAAAATTTAACTTTTGTTGTTGATATAGAAGGATGTACATGCACGTGTAGGAAGCTTCAAGTTGATCAACTACCCTGTCCACACGCTCTGGCTGTCGTTGCAAGTGCGAAGATGGATCCATATGAGTTTTGTTCATATTATTACACGAGAGAAGCATACAAGAATACTTACAACGAAATTGTTTTCTTTGTAGGAAATCCAAATGAATGGATAGTGCCCAAAGACTTCGAGAACATAGTCGTGTTACCATCTAATCAAAAGCGAAGTTGCGGAAGGCCTACTGAGAAGAGGTTTAGATTTGTAGTTGAAGATAACATAACTGTCAAATGCGGTCGTTGTGATGAAAGTGGTCACAATCACAGAACTTGTAGCAGTTTGGTTCCATTAAGTCAGATTCAATCGAAAAAACAAAAAAAAGATAAGGAAGTCGACTGATGATACATATCACGAAACTTGCAACAGTTTGGTTCTGTCAAGACAGTTGGTTTACTTTTTCATTCATTGTTTGAATGTAATATCGGACAAAATTTGTTAGAGGACACAAATATTTATTTAATAACATCATTTCCAAGTTCAAACCTTATAATAAGGATGTTTTACTATTGTACTTGTAATGTTCCTTCCACATGAACACATTTTTAAATACAAGCAAACATGATAGGTGGGGATTGGGTATAGCCTAAAAGAACCTGTTACGTGTGTTGTGACCATTACAATGCGAATTGTCACCGAGGGGGTTGTTACATTCACTTCATAATAAACGAGTGTGGGGTGTCACAGGGAAAAAATGGTCCGTTAGCTGTTATGTGAACCTGGAACATTGACTTGTGACGAATGTGGTTATGCACAAAGAATATTATACTTATTGCGACATTTACGGTGACTTTTTATTTAACATGTGACCTGTACTGGGACCCGTTGGCGAGACTGTGCATAAGAAATTGGAAGATGTGATCTCTACTGTGACCTGTTTCCAGTTGCCTGTGACCTTTGCAGCGAACTATGGTTGTGCACAAAGAATATTATACTTATTGTGATATGTTAGTTGACCTTTTATGTGACATGTGACCCGTACCGTGACCCGTTGGCAAGAGACTGTGCATAAGAATTTGGAACATGTGATCTCTGCTATGACCTGTTTCCAGTTGTTCGTGATATGAACAATATACATCAAACTGTGACCTGGTCGGTGACCTCTTATGTGACCTGTTTCCAGTTGCATGTGACCTTTGCAGCGAACTATGGTTGTGCACAAAGAATATTATACTTATTGTGACATGTTAGGTGACTTTTTATGTGACACAATATCTCAAGCTGAATAATACATTCAAAACATAATTTCAAGACACATAAAATCTAAAACTCAAACAGTTGTTTAATTACTGTTGCTTAAATCAAATACAAAAGAGTATCCTCAAAACAAAACACCCTTGTTCAAAGCAAACAAAAAAATTGTCCATAACCACACTTCATATTCCATTCTACTGCATTTTCAAACTACACCTCTAATGTCATTCAATAACTATACTATCTCCACTGGTTGGCAGCAACGTCTTTCTCTCTGTACTGGTTTCATAGTGCTTGAATAACAATGATGCAACATCCAGATGTGCTCCAGCTGCATCAAATTTTATCGGCATTGATCCTAAATCATCATGAAGCATGTACTCGGCATATTTAATCACATATATGCCACAGTTATGCCTGCAAATTGAAAAAATTTCCAGTCCATTATGTGTAGAATCATATTATTACAGTATGTTTAGATTTTCGGTGACAAAAATTGCCCATTATTCTATTGTGGGACGAAGGAATTAAGCACCACCTTCAACTCCTTGGAATCGTCAGCGGATGGATCTGAATCCTTTCTCCAAATTCCAATACGGTCCATAAGGTGAGGGATCATTTTGACGAAAGGATCAATTCCGATAAGGACCTTGATGTCATTGTATGTTTTCCTTGCCGAATTTAATACAAGTAAGGTTTGCTTTTTGATATCAAGCACTGCAAGCATCTAATGCGCTTTGTTTGTAGGCAGAATGGATATGAACACAAGGTCCACTTCTGCCCAAAGTTTGCTCAGTGGAATTCGTGCACCTGTGATGTCGTCAATGAGTCTCTCATCCGTGACAATTACCACTGGATCTTGCTTGAACTTTTGGTACATATTCTTCAGCTTGGCTTGAAGCAACGTGTCGGTCGTGGTGGCGATGACTTTGATGTTTTTGCAGTTACTTGCTAACTGACGTATGTAGTAAAAGCACACATCCATATGCTAAAAAAATGGAAAACTGTGAGATTGAATTGACGTATAAATTGTGTAGGGTGAACTATGACCAGAAAATATGCTTGAGTGCACTCTGTAAATGACTGTAATCTATTCACCGTTATCTATGACCAACCGCAAATGGTCTGTGACCATTACATGTGACCTATTATACATACCAAAATGTGACCAGCACTGGGACATACGAACCATACATATGGCATTGCGAACTTTATAAATTGAAAGTAAGAGGGATGTAGGCAGTGACATATAGGTAGTTGGCTGTGAACATGACCATGGAATGTATGACATACTCATATGAATTGAGACTTACAAAGAGATACATACCGAACAACTCAGTGACCCATACCTAGACACAACTTCGTACCACCATCTTCTAAATTGTGTAGGGTGAAATGTGACCAGGAAATGTGCTGGAGTGCACTCTCTAAATAAACTGTAACCTATTCGCCTTTATCTGTGACCAACCTCAAATGGTCTATGACCATTACATGTGACCTGTTATGCATACAAAAAATGTGACCTGCATTGGGACAAATGAAATACGTGTGTCGCATTGCGAACTTTATAGACGCTGGAATGTAAAAGGGACGAGGACAATGACGTATAGGTACTTGGCTATGACCATGACCATGGAATCTATGACCTACTCATATGAATTGAGACTTACAAAAGGATACATACCGAACTACTCAGTGACACATCGCTAGACACAAGTTCGTATCACCATGTTTTATTTCCGACGACGAACTGACCAACAAGAAAAGGTGGACGAATATGATCATCTTGGTCATTAAACTTTTTCCTGCAAAGAAAACTTGATTGAATATTCATACATGGACTAATTATAATGATATGCAAAAAATAATTCATACTTGTTATGTGGCTTATATCCTCTCTGGAACCAACTCTAAAAGTTAGCAATATCGGCATGGTCCACATACTGATTGTAGTGTTGGAAGATTACGACATTATTCGAATGCTTGTTTTGCTTCCCTTCATGAACATACGGAGATTAAAGTGCTTTAGCTAGCCTAAGAGCCATCTTAACAGGCAATCCAGAACTTGGCGCAGAAACAGGAGACTCTTACATATTAATTTGATATGGACAGTGACTTGCTGAAACCTGCAACGTACAGTAGTTTACATATCTAACAGAATTATCTGGGCTTACCAACTTCTCAACAGATTTTGTGTCCTTCAGAACATCATATACGACAGACACAACATACGTTTCCACCTTTTTTGATTTCGTTGGTTCTATGGGTGTTGGTTGCGTGAAACAAACACCCAGATCGAAGGATGGAGATTGTAGGCTATATGAAAATTCAACGTCAACGTCAGTTTCCATCTTACCCTTACCTTTAAAATCAACTGTTATTTCCGCATCTCCAACCTGTAACATAAAATGTATAATCATAGTTAAAGTTCATACGACAAATGAACATATATGATTTTATGAGGTCACATGGTATGTTGATTACCTTGTCCAAAGGTTCATAATCTCTGACAATATTTAACCCAGATTTATCTCTGAATTTGGTCAGGATTTCTTCCATGGAATTAGAAATCAAGGCGGTCACAGATTCGGTCATAAACTGCATGTTCAATCTGATGTTGATCAAGTCTATATGAATTTCACCTTGCATGTGGACAATATTGTTCAATTTGTTTTGCTGATTATGCGTGAGCGACGATATCTCTGACTTCATCGCATCGATTGCCATACTCATCCGACAATTCTCAGTTTGGAGTTTAGTTAATTGTTTGAAAAATTGTTTTCGTACTTCGTCAACCACCTGCACCACATGAATGCCCATTATCAGTGGCAAAACAATGGTGAAAACATCTATAGTCCAGATGCCTGCGACCCATAATGAACTGACAGATCAATGACCTATTAACTGTGACATAGGAACGAACTATGATGTTGCACCAAGAATAATAACTGAATGTGACATGATCTGTGACATGTGACCTATTCTGTGACATGTTTCTAATACATGTGACGTGTACATACGACGACTTATGAAAATAGCAAAGGTAGAATAACCTGTGACTCGTAATGAATTGACAGGAAAAGCGTTAGCTAGAAAATGTGACCTGTGACCCACTGCTGACATTATTTAACAACTTACATTGTTTGGCGCTGACTAATCCTCCCTACTAGGCGAATTGGCATAGAACGTTGTTCCCTGCCATCTGGGTGGGGTGTCAAGAAAATCGTCTTCACCATCGTCAAGAGGCACATCAGAGTGACCAAGTCTACCATCTGTAATCATAAGCAGCGGCGTAGATGCTTTTTCACTCGAGTAACTCGCTTCCTAGTTGCCTTGACGGAATGAACTGATATGTCTACCATACCTCCCTTTCTCTTCGCCCCACGTGCACGTTCCGGTTGGACATGCTTGATATATTGCACTTCATAGATGTACGACATTGCCATTTCCATGTTTGACGGGTCCAGGTCAGGTATTTCCATCTGCCATTCCAAGCACAGACACAATGTAATGTCAGCACACTACATCGATGTACAAAATAATAAACCCAAGCAATGAGCTGTAACAGTAACTGGGTATCTGTCCGGTCATAACCGTGTGAGGCATGTCATGAGTGTGTTCTGTGACCTGTATATTATTAATTGTGAGTCAATGAACATATGTTGTGACTTGATGTGTATAATCTCTGACTTAGATACACAACTATTTAATTTCTGTGTTACGACTTGTGACTTAAGGATAAGCACATGTGAGATGCATTGACGTATTGTAAATGGTGTTAAGATAATTACTTCGGGATTACAGAAGCAATTAGGTCCGTCAAGCTTAGCAGCAGGTGGGTGATCGTCTGTCGTCCAATTCCTTATTCGGGGATACGTTCTTGAGGTCCTTCTTGCTACATATCCATCGAGGGTAGGGATCGTCTTGTAAATCCATACTTGAAACGCTATTAGAAGATCTCGTAGTCTATAATGGGTCGTTCTCTTGCTCAAACCCTCCCTCAATGAACTAATTAGTGTCTCAAAGAGTGACTTACCCCATGGGAACGAGTCCATCAGATTAAAATCCTCTACTAGAACAAACATATAGTGTTTAACCACCTTCTTATAGTCTCTTGGATACAGGTACGAAGTAATGAAATACAATGC